GCTTGTTTAGCCTGAAGAACGGAAAACTGAGAGGGGATCTCATCAACTCGTACAAATATCTTAAGGGTGGATTTCACGAGGATGGAGCCAGGCTCCTCTCAGTGGTACCCAGTGACAGGACAAGGGGACAATGGGCACAAACTGAAGCATAAGAGGTTTCAGTTGAATATGGGGAAGAACTTCTTTACTCTGAGGGTGACATAGCACTGGAACAGGCTGCCCAGGGGAGTTGTGGAGTCTCCTTCTCTGGAGATATTCAAAACCCACCTGGACGATGTCCTGTGCAACCTGCTCCGGGTGAGCCTGCTTTAGCAGGGGGGTTGGACTGGATGATCTCCGGAGGTCCCTTCCAACCCCTGCCATTCTGTGATTCTGTGTGATTCTGTGAGTTTCCGCAAGATGCTTCAGATGAGCTAGAATTCAACCACCCAGGGCAGATGTCTTATTCTCCTTGTCACTCAGCAGACCACATTCTGGCAATGGTCCTGCAGCTGGTGTGAATCAGCCCACCCACTGCCTAACTGGGCAGACAAGAGTCAGCACGCTCAGCAAATACCCATAGGCAAACCCCTTGTCATTCGCTCTTGCTCCTGAGCAGCTATCACAGTACCCCCTGCAAAAAAACCTCAAAAATAGTCAGTCATCTTCACTTATAAAACTTCCATGAAGCACTAGACCAAACAGGGATTCCCTGTAGAGAAAAAGAAAAAAAGCAGTTCCTCATCACACAGAGCTTAAAGGAGGGGCACAACTTTTGCCTTAAGCCTCCAAAGGACCCTGTGCTTGGTACTCGTTATTTCTACCTTTAGAAACAGCTTCAGTTCACAAAAGACACCGGATGAGTCAAGTGGACTACCTGTTGCAAGCATTTCAGCCCAGTTGTATTCCTGGAAGGGCTGGAAAGGCTCACTTGTTCAACGCAGGGGAGGAGCGGATTAGGAGAGGGGAGATACGGACAGACAGAAATGGTGAACATCTAAACTGTGCACTCTGAAAGGAACAGGCTTAAACAACAGCTGAGAGCACCATCAGAAATTTCTCTTGACAACATCCTTGGATACATCAAGAACATTCCCCACTGCAGGGGCACAGCCAACCATCGATTTATGCGCTCATACCTAGGAGGCAGCTGACACTCGCATCAGTAACGAGGGAAAGATCTGGTCCAGAGGGAATGTAGCAGGCCTGCTGGTTCAGGCAGAGATGCTTGAAAGAGATGCTTGTGGAGAAATATCCTGGCACTCCAGACATACACAGGAAAACGATCAGCATCAGCTCTCTCTACATGGCAAAATGAAGTAGTACTGAGTGGCAAACTCCAGCCCTGAGCCCCTACTTTGAAGATCTGAACGGTTCACCAGCAATAAAGTAATAGGGTGATGATACAACACTTAAGTCACACGCTTCTCCCCTCATCACCTTTAATGCTTACTCCGTGGCGATCGACTCTCACATTCAGAACCAGCTGCTGCTGGGTAACTGTCTGTTTTGGGACAGATCCTACCAGAATCCAGGTAGGAAGCACCAACACGTGGCAAGTAAAAACAGAAACAGAAAACAGAAGCATAGGGTGCTTATCTGTTACTGTGTAAACTTCATAATACTAATAAATTTCATAAACTACTGTGTAGCTTTATAAGCTGACTCAAAGCCTTGCCTATGAAAATGAAGATGGTGCTAAATAGCAGTCAGATGCTACTCCTGACATCACGGAATTTTATGTTACCTATTTTACTGGAAAATAGTTCCAATGGGATTGTTGCAGAAAACGCAAAACCGAAAGACATCACATGCCACGTACTCTCCAACTTGTAGAAACGTGGTGAGATCTAACCAAGTGAGCTTTGAAGAAAGCTGTGACGAGTACAGGGGTGCATGAGTGTGTGAAACTATCTCCGGGCTTTGCGAGCAGTAAGCAACGCTGCTAAGTGGGTTCAGTCCCCTCAGGCTTATGTCCAGAAGACAAATGAAGTTACCAGAAATGCAGCTTTAGCCACAGGGAAACAGAAGGTTGTTGACCCCGTTACCAGGGTAACTACCGCACTCTTCACATTCTTTCAGAGCTCTGAAAATTAAAAAAAACAACAACCCAAACTTCTGTCCACTGCAGCTTTCCCTCTTCTCCCCATGCAGTCATCACCCTCTAATAGGTTTTGACTTGCTGTGTTATTTTGTATCCTTATTCTTGATTTGCACATCCAGTACATGGCAGTTTAATTCAGCAAAGGGAAAAGAGGTCGTCTCTTTTTTTTTTTGGTTTTGTGGGTTTTTTAAAGCCTTTTCATCATTTATCTGTTTCTCAACCTCTACATTTAAGGCCTTACTTGACAAATATCTTCACTGTAACCTTTTGGGCTTCTCAGGATCTTTCCTGAATGTCAACATCCATCTGAGTCCTTCATAGGCCCCAAATCTGAGCAGGATTCTTTGTTCTTCACGCTAAAAAGGAGGGAATCTGAAGGGATAACTATGTTAAAAGATGGGATCCAGCCTTCTAAGTTCAGGTGGCCCTCCTCAGGTAAAATGCAATGCAGCTTGGTTACTACTGAAGTACATCCAGTTTAAATTCCTGGTCACTTAAAACCAGATTGGACACCTAAAGATTCGCAGGTTTAAAAAAAGCAATGCAAAAATCATCTGATCATAGCAGATATCTAAAAATCAGATCACCGTGACTAGTAAATGATTTAATACTTAACAGAAGAGGCCATTATGAAAAAACTGAAAAAATGTATCATGGAAATATCTTTTCAAAAAGCAACAGAAGAACACTGGGATTTGAAATACTAGGACTGTGAGGTTTTAAGAAATCTCTAGTCATGCTACTCAATGAAATCTAATAAGGAATTAAGATTTTGCCCAATTGCTAGCAACAACATTCAGTGCATATCCAGCATTTTGCATCTACTACTAATTATAAAGGAAAACCTGAGGAACGACTTGGGGAAAAATCATACCCTACGCATTAGCATACTAACAAGGAGAGAATTGAATACGCTCACAAAAGACAGGGAATTTGTCTGAGAGTATGTCTAATAGAAACAGTTCAGATCATGTTTGCTAAAAGGCACCAGACACAGAAGGTTGCTCAGAATTTAGAGGCAGCAGGAAAAAGTGCAAGAAGTTCCGCTGCGCGTAGAATGGTACATCGCATATTCTCTGACCTCCTGGAGAATATGCAGCATGGGGGAGCCTGTTACTTGAATTTTCAGAGTTTTTCCTTAGTGAGGAACATAGTGAATTTTCAAGTTGTGGAAACACAAAGAACCTGTGTGAAAGATCTCAGTTTCCTGTAACAACTTGACATGCAGAGTGATGAACAAAGCCAATGGACTTTAGTAGGATAAGGAATAGATGGTAGGGTCATACCTACAGGATAGAGGTAGGATCAGAGAGATGGGAAGCCTGAGAGACAGTTGAATGGCCCTGTTCTGCCAAGGGAAACAGGGATAAGGCAAAGGGCTGCTCTTGCTGTACCACCCATTCGGGTGTACTCCCCTTGTACCTTGTTAAGGCAGCAGGTAGCGAGCGTACGCTAGACTAAAAATCCTCAGAAACAATTCACCGTCTTGAGATCAGGGTAGCTAGTGAAGGTTTTAGGGAAGTAGAGGAGCCCGTTGTTGCTGCCTTTAGGGGCACAAGCTGGCAACACCAAGGATGCAGAGAAAGGGAGCAGACAACCCCAGAAGGACAGCAGGAAGCTGATGAAGAGAGAAGCACAGATGGATACTTGACCATGAGAAAATCATTAAGTAATCTCTTACATTGAGCTTACATTTCAGAGAATAGGGCTCACCAAGGGAAGAAAAGGATCTCTCATACAGTTCTGGGGATGTGATTTCAGGCCTATAGGTACCTAGGTGTGTAGTAATACCAAAGAAATGTGTTAGCTAGCCTGCTATATGCAGTAGTTCAACACTGAAGTGCTGCTCATGGTCCATGTAGGTAGGAAAAACCAAAACGCAAATCTAGAGGCAAAACTTAGGTTATTACATAGGATCTGAAAATCACAACCTCCACTGCCAGCGTACTCAGAGCAGCAGAGGTTCAGAGCATGACTCAATAAATGGTGCAAGAGAAATCAATATTCTTTAGGACCTGGTAAAATTTCTGAGATAAAGACTTTATAGAAAGAATAGGCATGAGCTAAATGAAGTTGCTGGTATTTGAAAGTTAAAATTAAAAAAAGACAGATTTGAAACAAAGGATATTTTTATTGGTTGTCTGCTACACCCCTGAGACTCCAGTAAGATTTATTTTTCCTCATGAGTTTGCAAATGCACCTTTCATACCCTTGGCAAAGCATTACTCAATCTTCCTAAACTACCTTGCAGTAGTTCAAGTCAGGTTACCAGAAAATGTATTATTGCATTTATGTGAGCACAACTCCTGATTTTTTTTATCCCCCCCCCCCCCCAGCTTTTTATTAGCTTCCCTCCCTTTAGCCTTTGATCATTATGCTTTTTCCTCAGTTATACTCCTGCCCAGTAAACAGATTTATCCTGGTTTTTAAATATGGTAGGATCTCAGTGAAGCCTACAGCGTGTGCATACCTATAAGCTCAGAATCATGTACCTTCCTCTTTTACTTCCCTGCCTCATTTCTCTACTCAGTTTGGAAGAAGCACCCCTTAAGAGATTAACCCTTTCCCAACCAGCAAGATCTATCACACTATAGCTGTTTATATTATAGCGTAAGTACATCTATAAAATTACCTGACTGTTTTTAAAGCAAGGAGAGATAGAAGTTGACGCCCTACCTATTGTTTTTGCAATAAGTATAAACAGCCTTTTTTGTAGCTGCTTCAAGCAAACACACAAGTCAAAGGTGACCTTTTCTCATTAAGATCTCAGAGTGCCACCTGCTTCCCCCAAAACAATGGCTCCCAAACAAAGGCCCTACTTCATTTCAGACTATGAAGCAGGTCAGTACTTTAGCCACCGAAACTGGGAATAAAGTCCTTAACAGCCATACAGGATTAAGAAACAGGCATTCTTTATTCAGCAGCACCGGGTGCACAGGGGATCTCTCCACCTATTGTGCACACATACATCCTTTATATGTTTCTGTTCCATACATACATATTACATTTCTCAGAAGAACTGTACATATTCATCCCTTTTCCTGGATCTCATTATAATATTTACATGATCATTACACATGCATTCCAAGTCTCCTGGGGTCTCTTGTCAGGGTCCTTGGTGGGCTTCAGAGGTCACTCTGCTGTGTCCTTTAGTCAAACTCAGCAGTTCTGATCCACATAGGGTCATGAGTTGGCTCATTGAGCAATCTTGTCAGTGTGTTGCAAGATGTGTTGGTTTCAACTGGTTTTTCAGTACTTATCTATGTGCATATGTTTTTAGCCCCTTTTTACCCATGATTAATACAGGATGCCTATTTCATAATCTTGAGAATTTTACAACAATTCACCCCTTTTGAGACTTCTCTGTCCCATTAGAGAGATCTTCTGTATTTTGAATCGCACAGGTTTCTAATCATAGGAATACACTGCATTAATACGTAAATTACCAAGATGATTACAATAATAAGAATTACAGCTATGAAGATTTGTTTAACCCAGATCAAGTTTGGTAACCAATTTGTTAGCCATGACAAATCCAGCCCTTGTCTCTCTTTAATACCATGGGCTGACTGTTTCAGATTCTGTGTTTTACTCTCTATCAGCTCCAAGTTGCCAGTTAGGTTGAAGCAGCACATGCCTTTGAATTCTTTGCACCCATGATTGTGACGGAGTAATAAATAGTCTATGGCCGCCCTATTTTCCAAGGCAGCTTGTCTTATCTGGCTCAGTTCTTCCTGTATGACTGACAGCGCTTGAGAGGTGTAATTGATATTTTTCACCAAGGCACAAGCCAGTCGTTTCATTACATTATAATTCATAGCAACCCCTGCTCCTGGAGCTAGGAACGCAGCTGCTGATATTTCTTCAGGACTAAAAAGTGTTACTTCTGCATCACATTCTTCACCTAATGAGTGGATCGACCTCCTGGACCTCCTTTCCTGCCTCATGATATCAGCTGGCCTATATAATCGGGGAACTAATCTTCCCAGAGAACAGGGACCTCCAGTACAGTTGGCCGGAATATAGGTGTAGGCCATTCTACCACACAATAAAAACCACCCTTGAGGTAATATGGTATGTTTGTAGTCTGTTGACATGTCATATGTCTGATTACAATGTAGTATAGGCTTGGATCTGGATAAATTTAAACAGTTTTTAGAACAATTCACAAACTTTATACAACTCTCAGCTGGAAATGAGTTTCCTATTCTGACCTTGAACATTTTCCTATTAAACTCCTGACTAACCTTTCCCAAAGCTTCCACTGTGGTTTCATTATATTGTAAATTATCTCTTGCTATGGCCCAACACAGTATTTCCCCAGTTGGAAGGCGGGTCTGATGTTGCAGACAAGTCGTATTACTGACTTCCCATTGTATGGTTTCTCCAGTTGGGCTTGTGCCATTGTATTGGAACTGATAATGTTTCAAGGTTCTCAGAGGGGTCGGTACTCCAACAAGGCAGGAAGTGAACACCTTACTTACTGAATTGCTAGAATGTAAACAAAAGTTAGAAGTATTAACTACTTTAGTAGCCAATTCTTCCCATAAATTCTCTTCTGGATCCCAAATGGGAAGTTCATGTTCATGCCCTTCTAACTCTAAGCTTCTTTTTGATCTTTGTCTCATGTTATCATGCCCTTGCAGGGAGTTTGCCAAATTGATTAAGACCCCTATGATCAGGAGGAATCTATTGTAAGTTTTGAGATAGCTCTGGGTTAGACAAAGATAATTTGCATGACACATATTCATCAGATAGTACAGGTCCCACAATCCCAATTAAGGTAAACAGCAAATACACTTGCTCACAATCTGTTATCAGTAATAGGACAAACTGTAGTTCATGTGACTCAATTGATTTTTATCTTCAAGGGTCCTTCAGAAGTAATTTTCCATTGATCTGGTGGTGCTTTCTTTACACATGTAAAATGAATCCACGGTTCAATCTCTCCTACCTTGACTGCCGTGTAAGTTGTTAGGAGTACCTGAAAGGGTCCTTTTCATTTTTCTCATAATGGTTCCAAGTTCCACATTCTAATATATACAGTCTCCTAGTTGATACTGGTGGACAGGTGTGTCCAGTGCAAGCGGTCCAGTCAGTACAATATGTCATCTGAGTGTTCCCAAGGTTTTACCTAGAGAAATCAGATATGATCTCAAATCTATTGTTTCCTTTTACATTCATTTCTCCTGGAATTTGTAGTGTTTGGTATGGTTTTCCATGCAGTATTGCATAAGAACTAACCTTGTCTTTAGACCTTGGCTGCATTCTTATCCTTAAGAGGGCTAGTGGGATGGCTTGTGGCCACCTGAAAGAAGTTCTCTGGCACATTTTACTAATTTGTCATTTCAAGGTTTGAGTCATTCTTTCCAACTTCCCACCTGATTGAAGTCTCCAGGGAGTATGTAACTGCCATACCATACCAAGGATCTTTCTAATCTCTTGTACTATATCCACCACAAAATGGGGGGCCCCTATCTGAGGGCATTCCTATTGGTAACCCAGACCTTGGGATTATTTCTTTTAGCAGTATTTTAACTACTTCTCTAGCTTTGTTGCTGCAACAAGGAAAAACTTCTGGCCATCCTAAAAAGGTGTCTACCAACATTAGGAGATATTTATAATTATCTTGGCTGGGTAATTTGGAGAAAACTATTTGCCAATAGTCCCCAAGCGTGTTCCCTTGTCTAGTGGTTCCTAGGGGTTGTTGTTTTCTATTCAGGGGATTATTCTTTAAATAAATTGGACATTTTGTTACAATAGACTTAACTATTCCTGTCATTCCTATGCTTATAATTGAAATTTTGAAGGTTAGAAATTGTGGCCTCACTTACCCAATGAGTTTCTTGATGCATTTTGTTAATTACTTCAGTCATCAGTGGCAGTGGTATGATAACTCGTTGGGTGGGGGTTACGAACCACCCTTCTCTAGTGAGTGATGCTTTCAATAACACTGCCAATTGTCAGTCAGTTTTACTATAATTGGGATTTGAGATTGGCAATTTTACCTGGTTTTCTGGTACCAAGACGAGGATGCTTTTTGTTCAGCTACCTCCTTAGCAGTCTTATCAGCCAATTGGTTACCCACATTTATTGTCATTTGTCCAAAGTGGTGTGCCCTGCAATGCATTATTGCTACTTCCTTGGGTTTCTGGATGTCCTGGAAAAGTTGGAAAATTTCTTCTTTGTATTTAATAGATGATCCCTGGGCTGACAGTAACCCTCTCTTTCCAAACTGCCCTGAGTGCACGAACTATTCCAAAACCAGACTTTGAATCAGTCCATATATTCACCTTTTTTCCTTCCGCCAACCTCAAGGCTTGCTGTAATGCCACTAACTCTGCCTTTTGGGCTGATGTGTTAATGCGCAAGGAGTTAGCCTCCATTACCTGTGTGGCTGTGACTACTGCATACCCAGCCATTCCTCTCCCATCTCGTACAAAACTGCTCCCATCTGTAAACAGTTCCAAGCTGGGATCCGTCAGGGGTATGTCCTTGAGGTTTGGTATGCTGGAATATACCTGTTCGATGGTCTGCAAGCAATTATGACACAAAATTCCTGAATCTTCTATCTTTGGGTTCAAGAACATTGCTGGGTTAGTTGCTGTGGTGGTTCTAAATTCTATGTTGTCTTGTTCCAACAAAACAACATGGTGTTTGAGCTTGGAGATAGCCAGTGTCCTCCCTTTTGTTCTAGGACAGATATAACCATGTGTGGAACATAATACAATGATTTTCTGTCCTATAGTTAGTTTTCCAACTTTCTGAATCCAAAGGACTGTTGCTGCCACAGCTTGCAAATATCCTGGCCTTCCCCTGCTCACACTGTCCAGCTGTTTGGAAAAGTAACCTATAGTGCTTTTCCATGTTCCCAGTCTTTGGGCCAGCATACCCAAAGCTAGGTATTGGCAGTCACATACAAACAATTCAAAAGTTTGGCCAGATCGGGTAACCCTGAAGCAGGGGCTGACATTAAGGTTTTTTTCAAATTCCTGAAAACGGTTTGGCACTCGGGTCCATAGCAACCAGGTCTCTTATGACTCCTTTAGAGTTTCATAAAAGGGTCTTACCAGTAACCCATAATTGGGAATCTACACCCTGCGCCACCTGGCCATACCCAGGAAGGTCCTTAATTCCCATACTGCCTTTGGCTCAGGAGTCTGGCACATAGCTTCTTTTCAATTATCTCCCAATTTTCACTGTCCTTGTGAAATCTCGAATCCTAAATAAATCAGAGTTCCTTTTCCAATTTGGGCTTTATTTTTCAGTAAAGTACTTTTCTTGTCCCAGAAAGTTTAGCAGACTTACAGTCATTTGTAAACACCTTTTCCGAGTGTCTGCATCCAGTAGAATATCATCCACATATTGTAATATTGCTCTGTCTGAATTCCTTCTTTTCCATAACTCTAATTCTTTTGATAGATGATTACCAAAAACTGTAGGACTGTTTTTGAATCCCTAGGGTAACACTGCCCAGACAAGTTGGGTTTTGCATCCAGTGGTCAGGCTTTCCCATTCAAAGCAAAAGTATTATGCCTGCCTCTTTCCAGGGGTATGCAAAAGAAAACATCCTTTAGACTGAGTACCCTAAACCATTTATGCTCTTCCTTTAAGGAAGTCAATAAAGTATATGGGTTAGTTACCATCAGGTGAATATCTTGTACAATTTGGTTTATGGTCCTCAGATCCTGAACTAACCGATAATCCTTACCATTTTGTTTTTTACTGGTAATATTGGGGTATCATATTCTGAGTCACATTCTACCAATAATTTATAATTCAGAAATTTTGTGATCAAGCTCTCCAATCCTTTCATAGCTTCCCATTTAATAGGATATTGTTTTTGTCTTACCGGCTTAGCTCTGGGCTTTAGAACATGTTTTTCTGCCAGTTTTGACTGACCTAGAAGTTCATCAGCCCCCACCAGAGGGATCACTGCATTGTCCACTTCCACTGGGACTGGTTCTTCTGGTTTTGGCGCTTCCTGTAACATAAAAACTATCACTTCTCCTATTTTTGACTGTGGTATTATCTTCTGTATTTCTCTGTTTTTAAAGGTTATTTGAGCATCTAGTTTACTCAACAGGTCCCTCCTCATTAGGGGTTTTGGACAGTCAAGCATTTATAGAAACTGGCAGGTCACCCACCGCTTTCCTAGTTTAAATTTCAGGGTTTGGAAAAAGGGCCATTCCTTTTTTCTCCCTGTTGCACCAACAACGCTTAGAGTTTGCTGACTGAGATTACCTTTGCAAGTATTAAGTACAGAGTAGGTAGCTCCCGTATCAACTAAAAATTCTACCTCCTCTTCTTCCAGCTTTATTGTAACCAGGGGTTCAGCTGGGGATCAGTCCCATGGTCCTCTTCAGGCTTCATCAGTAAGGGTGATTAGTTTAACAGCTTGCAGGGTCAGGTCTAAATTCCCTGCCTGGGGACACTCCCTCTTCCAGTGCCCCTCTCCTTGCAGGTAGCACATTGATCTTCCAGAGGCTGATTGGGATTCCAGCCTGGGTCAGTGGAGGGGAAGTTCTGATCCACTGTTCCTTCTAAATCCCCATTAGCATGCACTCCCTCCACCTGTAGTCAACACCATCTTCTTTTCTGTACTACCCAATAAGGTTTCCAAAATTACCTGTAAATCATTCCAATCTGAGTCCTGGGTTCTAATTATTGTTTCATCCACCTTGGCCACTCTT